AGAAAACACTACTCTAATAATAAATTTGTTCATATAAAATTGGTGTATTTATTAAACAAATGATATTATATTTTTTAAATATAATATTATTATCATTATTTTTGTGGTAAAATACATTAACTAGATTTAAATTTAATTTTTGGGTAGTTTAAATTAGAATATAAAAAATGGATTGTCTCCATTAACACAAAAATTATTAAACTTTGATAATATACCTTTTTAATTAGGTTGGAATATTTATATTTTCGAACATAGAAGATCTTATAAAAAATAAAAAAAAAAATTAAGTGGTTTTTAAAATTAAAATCACCAAAAATATATTTTAAGCTTTTATTTGTTAACTAAGTTTTATTTCAAAAATAAAAAAATAAAAAATAAAATGGTCGTGAGGAGAGTAATTTATTGATTTCATTTGTCGAATGGTTGATATTATCAGATTTGGGGCTCTGCATTGCCACTCTCTTTTTTCTCTCGCGCGCTTTGGTTGCTCTGTCGAGAGAGGATATGGTCTCTACCTCACTCTTACTTCTCTCGCCCTCCTCATTTCCTTCCATTTCCAAAACTGATTCCCCATCTTCTTCCATCTCCACCAATTTTGGGTCCTTCTCCCAATCTTCCAAGCGAAGCTTTAGATTCCCGAAACGTTTTAGGTTATTTCGGTGCCAAATTCTTGGTCCTTCTTCACCTTCCAATCAATTCCGCGACGATGGCACGGCCGAGCTGTTTTTGCAGAATAATTCAATTGCGGATTTCATGAGGTTCAAACGGGATGGAAGCAGTACTGAGCTTCAGACTGCTGTTGTTAGTTACAGAAAGAAGTTTCCATGGTCTATTCTGCAGCCATTTCTTCAGGTTTAGGCTCGAATTCTAATTGTTTCGTTTAGGTATTTGTATTTCTTACATGGGGTTTCGTTTAATTTGTGGCTTCTACTCTTTTTCAGGTTGATTTGGTGTCAACAATTCATATTGCAGACAAAGAGTATGTGTACTCGTTGTATTCTCTCATTTTGTCAATTTGATCATCTTTTGTATTTTCTTCTTTGCCTACCTGTAAATTGTTCTGTAACTCTGTGAGTAGGAGATATGATTATGCTATTTGATTTTACTTTGAAGGGTAGTGCCTTGCTCATTAGTCATTAGTGTTGTCATGAACGCGAGTTATTTTGATACCGAGAGGAAATTGTGACCTAGCATATGTTTAGGTCGCAACAATGGATCAACAACAAACTAAGAAACTGTTACGTTAGGAAAAAAGGAAAAGAACTGCAATTTAGTAGAAATTCTTATATATGTGCAATGAAAAATAAAGGGATAAGATAAATTAGCATGGGAAAATAGCAGTTACTTTCTCTTTTGAATCAATGAAGAAGATTTTCTAGCATTTTAATGGTGATTTTGTCCTAATTTTTGTTCTTTTCTAGAAGGTACTTTCCCCTATCGAAGCAATACTTTTATTTCGTGATAAAGGTTTCGAGACTCACTACCTTTTAAAGTATTGCTAACTCTAATCTTGCTTATTAGTTGCCTCACTTCAACCCGGCTTTTTGATTGACTAAATATGTTGCCATCCATTTTGCATAGCTATTTTGAGGCCCTCCAGAAAGAACTCGAGTCTTACGATTGTATACTGTATGAGATGGTGGCTAGTAGGGAGAGCTTAGAAAACAGAAGAAATCCAACTGCCATGAAAAAGCTACAAAGTTCACGATCACGAGGATTTAATATTCTAGGCTGCATTCAACGGCAGATGGCTCGTGTTCTTACACTTGACTTTCAATTAGATTGTCTTGATTACCAGGCTTCGAATTGGTACCATGCAGATCTAGACTATGAAACCTTCACCATACTTCAGGTTATTCCCTCTCTGCCTTCTTACACAATAGATGGAGCAAAAATGTCTAGACATAAACATCCTTAAGGCTGCAATGGATGCTACAATGTGCAGAGATTGTTTACTTGACAGGATATTCTCCAAATAGTTGAATCATAGCATCTGATAAGAATTTATTGTTGACCACTTAAAGAACCCATTAGTTTCTTTTCTGTTGAAATTGTTTCTTTAAACTTGTGCCTTCTAGAGTGATCTATGACCATTCAACTTTAGAGCGTGTTCCCTTTTCAACTCTAAGATGGCCTAATTCCTCATCTTTTAGAAATTAACATCATTCGCAGTTGTTTTTGACACCTAACACTTGGTCATATAATGATATTTTGACACTGAATTTGATGCTGTCATGTTGCAGACCGAAAAAGGTGAAAACTTCTTTACATTTGCTAGAGACATGACTATACGATCCACCAAAGCTTTGGTTCAGCCTACTGCAGGATCCAAAGATCTTGAACCTTGGAAATCAAAGCTTCTTCGGGCGTCTCGTGTTCTTCCTATGCCACTTGTTGGAATGCTCATCATTGGAAGCGTTTGTGCAGATGGAGGAAGTCAAGCATCAGAATTTCCAGAATTTGAAGCATTGTCAAGTCTCGACTTGGGTGCTGCAATGAAGGTTTTTCTAGCTAAGCGTCTAACATCTGAGTAAGTACGTTTGGAGTTCTATACGACATCTGTTCCCTTATTAGTTTGGTATCAGTAATAATTCATTCCAAAACTTCATTTCTGTTTCTGAATGTGGAATCTGGAGGTTATTTTGAATCTAAATTAGTTATTGCTTGTTTGGGCGAGTCTTAGTTCGGCTGTTTTTGGATCTGATATAATTCATTGTTTGTGAAGGTTTACACAAGTAACTGCCGAGGTGGAGGAGAGTTCTGTTATAATCGGCGAGAGGAACAAAGCAGCAACAGAAGCACTTAGAGATGCCATGGACAAGGGCCACAACAAAATTGCCATACTATACGGTGGTGGTCACATGCCCGACTTGGGGAGGCGATTGCGAGAGGATTTCGACCTCATTCCTAGTCGTGTAAAGTGGATAACAGCATGGTCTATTGCAAAGCGAAAAGTATCCAGCAGTTCTCTCCCATTTCTCAAGTCTCTGGCTGATGTCTCGGGTTGGCCATTGAACCGTTACCAGACATTGGCACTGCTAATCTTCTCCTCAGTCCTAGCAGTGGATCTCTGGTTTTGGGAACTCTTCTTCGGCACCGCAGCAAATTGGATCTCTCAAGTAGCTTTAGATGTCTATCAGTATGTTGATAATGTACAGCTGATGTGAAAACGGTAATGGATTTCATCAAATTAGAAGTTGTATCCTTGCCGTTGTACATATAATTCAACTGTGGCCGTTGTTTCACGTGGCACTCAGAAAGTAGAACAGTGAAGAACGTTGAAATGGTTTCCTTGCATGTTCTATATAATACATAATCCATATTGGATTTTACTGCTGAAAATGCAATGGAAGGGATTGACAAGTACACCTTGATTTGCTCCATTTTATTGGGCTACACTAACTCGTTCTTTCTTTTACCTTAAATTTTTCTTCTCTGTTTCAGTGAACAGACTGGTGTGGTCGATCTCAAAAGAGACTACATATGGAGGGGTGTTCTTGGTGGTATCAGGAATAACGGCAGTGGGTACGCATTTCTTTTACTTCTTTCTCTCCCAGTATAAGGACACAATTAGAAGTGAAAATGAAGCCCACCTGCATAATAGTAGGTGAGAAGCCAAGTCCATGATATACTCACGGGTGGCTGGCAGTGTTAAATTAATAAAAAAAAACAAAACAAAAAATGATTAGTCATTAAGTATTACTAGTCAACCCTCTGCTTTTCCTTAAACTTCATGTGATAATATAACCTTTTCTACTTCTACTTGTCTCGGTTTCCATCCCAATTTCCCATTTTACCCACTCCCTATCCCCCAGTCAACCGTTGTTTCAGGGGTAACCTCGTAATTCACTACACTAATCTTGTTCCATTCCCTTGTTTTGCACTTACACACTTCATATTCCCGTGCCCGCCCCTCTCTAATCATTTGAATATACCAAATGAGACATAAAAGAAAGAGACATGTCTGTCTGTCTGTCTATATATATATATATATATATATATATATATAGTGAGAAAGTAGCGAGGGAGATGGGGGAAATTCAAATCCAAAATGGATTTTGAAATATTGGGCGCATGATTGATCAACTCAATAGTCAATACTACCAATGATCCAAAACTTGAAACAAAAAGAGGCTAAACTATGCAGTGGTTCGTGTGTTTTATCTCCTTGGAACCTTCTTTCATTTTTAGATACTCCTCTCTCTAAACCCTTTCCTTTACCATTCCCAATGTGCATTGGACCTTCCAATTGCCCTACGATCTCTTCCATCATTTTCAGCTTCTCCATTATTATGCCACAAACCTTTCTTCATTAAAATCTTTCTCACACTCTCTTACTGTACTTGCTGAGCTTAAAACTTGAGATTTTTTGTAGATTTTCTCCGTTATTATGCCATAAACTTGCATCAACATTCTCCCATCATTACATTCAAAATTCATCCCAAATGACCTGAATTTTGTATTGTATGTGTTTGGTATGCAAGCTTATGACCTATAAATGTTAAGTTATTTTGTATGCATTTTCTTGGAACCTTTAGAAAATGATTAAAACATGCATGGTTTTCGATGTCTTGTTTTTGGGGTCAACCAAAATTAAGTGAAAAGTCTCTAGTCTTGATTTCAACAAAACAAGGAGACAATGACACGGGACAAAAGTTGTAAGAAATGAGAAAATGAGTTCAAAAACTGTGTGTTTTTACACTTTCCATTCTGAAAACTTGAAACAAATCTGAGGGTTTCCATGTTTGTTGTGTTGGTGTTCCTTGTCTCAATCTTCCTGTTTTTATCCTTCTAAAAGTTTTCTTTTTTGGGTACCTCAAAATTAGTACTCGCAAATGGCACTATTTTCAATTTGAAAATTATTTTAATCCTTCTCCTTTTGCACCACATTTAACATAAACTTGTACATTTTTAGCTTTAGACTAAGATTCAATTCAATGTTGAAAAGACCAAACTATATGATTATTATTTTGTACTGTCACATAATTTGTAGCAACACATATTCTATTTTCTCTATTATTAAATCCTTCTGTATATCGAAATTTTGAGAAAGTTTTTAAATTGAGTCACAGGTGAAGTTGGCTTAAATAAAAAGCATTCCCACTTTTGGTTTCTCATGCATTTCTCACTCCTCCTTCACACTCTGCAATTTTCCTTTTTCTTCTTCTTCTTCTTTCTCCAATGGAGACCCGCTTCAAGCTCCGCCTCTCTCGCATGTTCCAATCCTCTTTCGTCTCTTGCCGTTCCCGTTATCTCTCCGATATCATTCACAAACCCGTCTTCGTTCCGTCGGGACCTGCCCAAACCGTTGCTTCCTCTAGCCATCGGCTTCTCCCCCAACGCAAAATTTCCCGCCGGTTCTCTTTTGTTCCTTTCCCATCTGCAGTTCCTGGCGGCCGGATCTGCCCTCTGGCGTCCACGATTTCGCCCTTCCCGGAGAATGTGACCCATGAGAAAATTTCGACGACGAATAGGAAGAAAAAGAAGAAGCAGAGGAAACAGAGGAAGAAGGAGAGTCCGTTTTGCCAGTTCAGTTCGTTGTCTCTGGAGTCAAACTTCGACGGTACTTGGTGGTACAGTTGCGACGACGAGGACGAAGACGACGAAGCGGACACCATTTTTTCTTCGAAATCGCGCTCTTCTGATTCCTCAACGTCACGCCGACGGTATAAGTCTCGCCGGAGAAGAGGAGGTCGTAGCCGAAGCTCTGAAATGGGGGTGTTACCATTGACGGGGAAAGTGAAAGATAGCTTTGCAGTGGTGAAGAAATCGAGCGACCCATATAACGATTTTAGATGCTCGATGTTGGAAATGATTGTTGAGAAACAGATTTTTTCTGGTAAGGATCTTGAGCAGCTGTTGCAGTGTTTTCTCTCCTTGAACTCCCACCATCACCATAATGTCATTCTTGAGGTTTTCACAGAGATTTGGGAGGCTCTGTTTTCCGACTGGGGATCCTGATATGAACATGAAAACTCTAATCCCTTCGTTCTCCTTTTGTTCTTAAGAACTTCTATTGCTTATTTAATCGAACTCTTTCTTCCCCTTGTGTATAATTTCCATTTCTTGTTTTCTCCTCACTTGAAATTCAAGAATGAAGAAAGAACATCAGCATATTGAAAACAGTGCCCAATCTTGTTTTGTTCTTCACAACAACCAGTCATTATGTTTCATGCAATGCTAATAATAAACCATTTCAATAGAGATCCGTGGGGGATCTTTGGTTTCAGAATACTAAAGAACGACGCTAAAGACAAACCTAATTTCACATCAAACTATATTATAATAGTAGTGATAATCCGTGTGTTTGACTTGAAATTAGATGTGAGTTCTGAAGCCTACATAGTTTAGGCTAATGGATAAGAACGGATTCAGAACATTGTTGATTTGATTTGTTTAATGTAAGTAGATAAAAGCTTGATTTGATGTCTCCTGTCTATTTGATTTTGAATTATTTGTCAACTAAATCCTAATTCTACTTGGACATAAATTAAAATTTATATGGAAATTTATGTCTAAGGATTGCAAAGAGGTGTGACTTGACTAAACTCCCTCACGAACGAGAAACAACAAGTTATTGAGTAACCCAGGTGGACAAATTTCAATATGATTGTTACAAACGTTACGAGTACCTTTATGTTAGCATGCTCGTCACTAACTCATGTGGTTTCTAGTGTTAAATGTTTTCTATGTATGTACAACTTATTGTGTGTAAGTCATGTATAATGTTACGTTTTATGTCCAAGTATGGAGATGCAAGTTATTAATCTTTACATGAGGCATTGTGTTGGGGTGTGCTTAGTCCCCTTAGGAAGCTATTAACTAACCTTTAATGGCACATTGTCTCTCATGATTGACTATAGTTAGTTTAGACTTGAGGTCAATCCTCTTTATGTATTGTTTTCGAGGTATTATATTGGAATAGACGTGGCTCAACTTATCATAATGACGCATGGATTATCAAGATTGACGCACACATACGCCATAATTGGCTTAGTAAAGAATTGATTAATTGCACGTATATATGTGTTAGGTTAAGACAAGGTTAAACTCTTAGGTATTAAGAAAATTGTGAACTGGGCTTGGTCCTTAGCTGTAAGTACATCAGCACTGATGCTGAGAGTCTTACAAGTCCTTTGGCCTTTTAATTGGATTCGAAGTTATTAAATATCATATAGTTTTAATCGATATATTATGTTTTAAAAACTCTTTTATACTTTCTAATCTTCCTTCGTTTTTATGGTTAGAAATTACAAAACTCTATAATAGTATGATATTGTTCATAATCTTCTCCTAAGTAATCGATACGAGACTTTTCTCCCAACAATACTCAACATTTATAAGTTTGAATTTTAAGATCTAAAATGGAAATTTAATATTTCATTAAAAAAGAAGAGAACTTTTGAAGATTATAAAGGAAGAGGCAGAGAGGCCAGGACAAAGAGTGGGTCAAAAAGGAATTGGGTGTGTTTGGTCAATAAATGGTGTGGTAAGCCGTGGGGTTTTCTGGGGTTTTGAGCCTGTGTTTTCTGCTCCAACGTCTGGTGTGATGGGCTTTTACAGCACAGGTCCAGGGCTGAGCTACCCTTTTTGGTTCATACAAAACAAAGCTAAGCAAAACCATTATTGATGAATCATAATCAGTATCTATGTGTCAACGGATCATTAATCACTCTTCTGCTTCACCCTTCTTCTTCTTCCTCTTCTTCCTCTTCTTCTTCTTCTTCTTCTTCTTCGTTTTCAGGTGTCTCTGTCGCCCCCGATCACTCTTCTGCTTACATTCTACTTTTTGGCCCACACTAAAAACAACCCTCTACCTGCCCTCTACCCTACTTATTTCGTTGTATTTTAAAACAAAAGTGTATTAATCTTTTTCTAGTAGACGCGTTTTAAAACTGTGAGACCAATGACAATACATAATAGATTAAACAGTCAATATTCACTTAGTAGTAGTACACTTAAACTGACATGTTTGAGAGTGAGGATGCTGATTTAAAAAGGATGAATTGTTGCGTTGGTCATGGGCTTAGACTAAGCCGCTCCTCCCATCAACTCTTTTTCGCCACGCATTTTATTTAAATAAACAAAAATTTTATAGGTTAAATTAATGGTGTAATTTAATAGATACCATTAGAGTTGGGTTCAAACAATTAAAAAATTTTATGGGTGGAATTAGTTTAGGTTCTACTTTAGCTTTGGTTGAATAACTCTTAAAAATAATTTTTTAATTATTTTGATAATTTTTTAATTATTTTGATAATTTTTTAAAATCTATATTTAAATTGAATAAAAAAATTAATTAAATGTATGAAAATAAATAAATAGAGGTTTTACTAATATTTTACCTTTATTTTTATTTTTTTTTATAAATGAGTTTATTATTTAATAAAGTTTATTTAAATTGTACTCTAAAAAAAAATTGTCTTTATCCAATTCGAATATTTCTAATAAAATAAATATTAAAATATGTATTTTTCTAATATATATATATTATCAAGTTTATGCAAAACTGTACCTCACACTATTGAGGACATATTCTATTTATATTGGCAAAAGATTAACTAATAGATCCGATTTCATAGGAAACTAACGAAGTAAGCCTATTCTTATGGCATGACCAACTTCAAGCTATTCTAATGGATTGACCAATTCTAACAGTCCCCTTCAATCCCAACAAGTCTTGTACATGTTGAGATTGTTACAATGTGTAGTAAAAGGAGTTTTAGACAGTGGTTTTGTCAGGATATCAGCTACTTGATCACTTGATGAAATGAACCGAACTTCCATTGCTTTACGTGCTACTTGTTCTCGAACAAAATGAAAATCAACTTCAATATGTTTCGTTCTAGCATGAAATACTGGATTTGAAGTTAAATATGTAGCTCCGAGGTTGTCACACCAGAGGCGAGGAGCCTTTGATTGATACACGCCCAGTTCCTTCAGTAATGACTTGATCCAAATCATTTCTGCAGTAAGATTCGCAATGGCCTTGTATTCTGCTTCGGTGCTTGATCTTGACACTGTAGCCTGTTTTCTGGAACTCCATGAGATTAGATTTGCTCCAAGAAATACAGCAAAGCCGCTAGTTGAACGTCGATCATCGGGACAACCAGCCCAATCAGCATCAGAAAACCCCGACAACATCATGGTTGATTTCTGAATTTTCACTCCTAATGCTAGTGTGCCTTTAACATAACGAAGAATTCTCTTCACAGCACCCCAATGAGCATCAGTAGGTGTATGAAGATATTGACACACTTTATTGACAGCAAATGCCAAATCAGGCCTAGTCATTGTCAAATATTGTAGTGCTCCCACTGTACTTCTGTATTTGAATTGTTCTTCAGCTGATAAGGGTATTCCTTGTTCTCTGAATAATTTTTCAGCAGAACCCATTGGTGTAGACATAGGTTTGCATTTTTCCATGTTTACTCTTTTCAACAAATCTAAAGCATATCGTCTCTGTGACAGTATGATACCATCTCGTGTTTTCTTGACTTCAATACCCAGAAAATACTCAAGATCACCCAAATCTTTTACTGCAAAATCTATTTTCAATTTCTGAATCAACCTTTCGGTTGCTTGATCAGAGGAGCTCACAATAATTATATCATCAACATAGATGAGCATATAGATAGTTATCTCTCTGTTTTTGAGAATAAAAAGAGATGAATCAGCTACTGAAGCCTTGAAGCCTAACTCAATAAGCTTTCCAGTCAACCTTGAATGCCAAGCTTTTGGGGCTTGTTTCAGGCCATAAAGGGCTTTCTTGAGCTTGCATATGTAATTCTTTGGTTTGGCTGAGTCTTGAAATCCTGGTGGTTGTCGCATGTACACTTCCTCTTTCAGAATTCCATGCAAAAATGCATTTTGGATATCAACTTGTCTCATATTCCAGCCCTTGGTTACTGCTAGCGAAAGAATGACCCTGATTGTTGACGGTTTGATCACAGGGCTAAAAGTATCAGTGTAATCAACACCAAATCTTTGCTTGAATCCTTTGGCAACTAATCTTGCTTTTAATCTTTCAACTGACCCATCTGCTTTTCTTTTCACTTTATACACCCATTTACTATCAATGAGATTTATTCCAGGTTTGGGTGGAACTAGATCCCAAGTGGCATTTCGTTTTAGCGCTGAGAGCTCATCATTCATTGCTCCTCTCCATCCTGGATGTTGCATGGCTTCCTGCAGGTTTCGAGGTTCAGTAGCAGTCTCTATGATCGGAGTTGTGATAGTTACAGCGCTTGCGAATTTTCTTGAGGTTTCTGAATATCTGATAGTTCCATCAGTGAATTGTTTAGCTTGTACAATGTTATTTCTCAACCTTGTTCGCATTGGATGTTGACTAGCTGCTTCAGTTGGTTGATCAGACACATGTTCATGAGTTTGGTTTTGAGCATTGATCGAACTGCTCTCAGCTTCATATTCTGCAATTTCCTCTGAACTTCTTGTATTATCTGCAGAAGATAAGCTGACACCAGACAAGTTGTCACTAGCAATATTATCAGTTTGACCATCATTCATATGGGAATTACTAACAACTGGTTCAATATCTGTAAGAGCATTTTCAGTGTAAAAACTAGCAAGTTTGGCTAAGGCTGGAAGTAGAACAGGATGATGTGGATTTGTGGTTTTGTTTGGTGGCTTAGATTCTTCAAAAGGAAAAATATTTTCATCGAAAACCACGTCTCTAGAGATGTAAATACGTCCTGTACTTCTATTTAAGCATTTATATCCCTTATGAGAAGAACTATAACCTAAGAATATACATCTAGTAGTTCTGAAACTCAGTTTCTTGTTGTTGTAAGGCCTTAAATTAGGCCAGCAAGCACAGCCAAACACCCTAAGCATGGAGTAGTCTGGACTTTTACCAAACAATTTATGAAGTGGTGTGTCTTGTTGTATGGTTCGGCTGGGCATTCTATTTATAAGAAAGCAAGCTGTGTTGAAAGCTTCATCCCAGTAGGATAGAGGCATGTTGGCTTGAGCGAGTAAAGCAAGGCCAGTTTCTACAATGTGTCTGTGTTTTCTTTCGACTAACCCATTCTGCTGGTGTGTGTGAGGACAGGAGATATGATGTTCAATGCCTGTGGATTTGAAATAATTGTGTAACCGATGGTATTCACCCCCCCAATCTGATTGGACGGAGCGAATTTTGGTATTTAGCATAGTTTCAACATGTTTTTGAAATTGAAGGAACACAGACTCAACATCAGATTTGCATCTCAGAAAGTAAATCCAAACATAACGACTAAAATCATCAACAAAGGAAACATAATATTTGGAATTATTTACTGACGCAATGGATGGACCCCATACATCAGTGTGAATTAATTGAAGGGGTGCTGTAGATACATGCTGAGAAGAACCAAATGGCAATTGATGTGCTTTCCCTAATTGACAAGCATTACAAATTGAGGAAGAGGGAATATTAGTATCTATAGCTAAATTATTATCTTGTAGAATTCTAATGGTAATTGGAGATGCAGGGTGCCCTAGCCTTCTGTGCCATTGTTCTTTCGAAAGTTTGGCTGTCAGCAAGGCTTGACTGAAATTATGCGGTAGAACGTATAGGCCATTCTTACATCTACCGTGGAGCAGGAGTTTCTT